GCAGTGAATGCGCTAAAGGAGATAGCTACTACCCTCGGTTTCAAGAGATTTAAACTAAGTGATGGAGATTGTCGTTTACAACCTCTTAAGATCATACAAGAAGAAGAAACTAATGTTGTTTCGTCGAATTCCGAGATGAAAAACAACATTGTCTGTAATTGTAGCCTCGACAGGAACATGACTTGTCATATTACAGAGCTGTTAGTGTTATTCTTCTTCCATCTTAGAACTCTATTAGTTTCTAAATATTATCATTCTTTCTTCTAATTAATATCTGTCAAATATAGAGAATTCAAGACCCTCAGCCTTCCAGGAAAACTTCCACCCGAGTTGGCCAAGCTGCAATATCTCCAGAAGATGTAAGTTTGGAATTTCTTTAACGAATTCATGATTAATTAGTTTGATGTTTCAACTTGTAACTTGTAAGACATGTTATACAATTTTTATCGTTTGTTTTATTTTTTACTATTCAAAACATTTATCAAGTTCTCATGTTTTCAAAAAAGTGATTTTGCTCTTTGCTTTGGACGTGTTAAAAATACAATAGAAAAAACGTCATTAATCTACTAAAACTAATCATACCTCACAGAAGTATTTTACATATAAAATTTTTTTTTAAATGTTTTTTAAATAAAATTTTTTTAAATATATATTTTTTTAAATTTGTGTTCCAAAAACAGTATCACTAATTTAAATAAAAAAAATAGCACATATTATTATGTGAAAATATTTATCTACATAAATGAATTATATATAAAAAAATGTTTGAGTTCTCCTTGTCCAATTTGAATTTTAGGAAATGGTTTTGAGTTATTTTAATATTAAATTTGTATTTATTATTAAATATAAACTAGTGGTACTATGTTGAGAATAAAACTTAAAATTGTGTTATTTTAGATAATTTTATAGTAATATGTATTAGTTAATTTTTTGGAGTAATTACAAAAATGCCACTTTTTGTGTGCATATTTGCAAGAATGCCACATAGTGGTGTCCATTTATAAAAATATCACTAATTATAGATTTATAAAACATATATCTTAAAATTCTAAACACTAAAAAATGTGTTGACACCTAAAACCCCCTAAATACTCAAAACTAAACCC